AGTTCTTCCGGCCTAACACTAAAGGGGCCAATTTTAGAATTTTGGTGCCCACTACTCGATTATAATAAGGGAGAGATACAAAGTAAATTCAAACAAAGGAAAATAAAAAAATACATTATCTTTGTTTGAATTTATATGTATTGTAAGTTAATGTTGAACTTTCTAAAAGCTTTCTGGTTGCAAACAAAATTGTCTGATCTTCAGAACATATTAAATGGAAAACAGGGGAACTGGAAGCAAATGGAAATACAGGATACTTGGCATTACTTGCCATTTGTTTGTTGGCGGTAGTTGATAACAGAGAAGGCTGTTGATATTCTAGCAGTTAACTAGTGGTTACTTTGTGCTGTGGGGGGTGGCTGGTGTTATATTGGGAGAGGAGAAAAATTAGCTATAATCATTACTCTTTTTTGGGGGGGGTCTTTTATGCATTTACTGTAGTCATCATTTTTTATTGGGTTGTATCCAGTGAAATGCAAGGGTCTTCAACACAGATCTTTTGTTCCCTCCCCCCTTTCTCAACACCCCACTGAGACCTCTGAAAAGATTTTTTTTAACGATTTTATTAGAAGATAAGTCAAGTATACATAGACAAGATTACTGTTTAAACATTAATACAAACTGTAAGTGCAAATTCATTTAACACAATGCCATCTATTAACTTGTCAGCAGGAATTATTAGAATATAAGTCAAATATACATAAACAAGAGTACTGTAAACATTAATACATATTATAAATGCAAATTCATTGAACACAATGCCATCTATAAACTTGTTAGCAGGAACATCTTATTACCGTGACCTTGTCACTTTCTTGTTATTTTCCAATTGTTCTACTAGAGTAATAACGTATAATAAATCCAGATATATTTTAGAAGGACCTTAAAAGTATTTTATGAGAGTGCTCGGGCCATTAAAAAATTCTCATAGATGTATCCAGTCTGCATAGCTAGTATTTTCTGGTAATACATCGTTTTCTGTAAAATATGTTATAAGAGGACACCATTTAACCTCTGAAAAGATGGCAGTTCAGGGCAGGCATGGACATATACAGCCACAGAGACCCAAAAGGGTGGGTGTTCCTAGTAATAAGAGGGGGCCCCGTCTTCTTCCGTTAACTGTGTTCCTGTTCGTTCCAGAAGCTCTGCTGGCACAAGGGTGATGTGAAGATGATCTCACTGGGCTCCCTGCTCTTCATTACAGCTGCCTGGGTTGTGTGACTGTTGTGTCCATGTAGCTCTCGTGACCTAGTCTAGCATCAGCTTTTTTTCAGAGGTTTTTGGGGAAGGGGGAGGCAGGAAGGATCTGCGCTACCAGGTGCCTCCCACTGGCATATCACTGGTTCCAGTACATTTCATCCGGGTATATGCCTTTGTTAAATGCAGTATGGTCTTGCAGCTGCTGTGTCACAAAACCTTCAGTTTACATAAGACCACAGAAGTACTGTCACCTGTGTGGAAATGACTAACATATACAGAAGACAGTATATGGGTAGTGATCAGAAATACTGCATCCGTGATGTTTTCTAAAGGGTTGGTACAAGGAACTGCTACTGGTCGTAGAAAAGACAGTGGTTTCCCTGAACTACCAAAGGGTTGGAAAAGGGGACTTTGGATTACAGCAGAATTTGGGCCAGAAGGGTTTTGGGTAAATTGGTTGCAGTGCAAAACTATACCAACCTGTGATGTTGCTGGCTTGGCTTTGATTGTGGGTAATTGCCCAGAGTTCCCACCCATAGTAGGAATTGTGTTTCCATAATTATGCTGTTCGTTTAAACTGTCAACTTTTTACACTTCCACCCCAGGCTTAATACAGGAAGCAGTGACTACAGATACAAACCTCAGCTTCAGTCTGCCTTTGTGTATTTGTGTTTCTCCTTCAGGACTTGCTTGAGAGAAACAGGTGTCAGCACATACCCTTTCTTTTTGTTACAGCTATTCTAACTATGATGTCCAGAATTATGAGGGATGTTTTCCTTTTTGACAAAATAGGGAGTCATCCTACTGGCAGAAGAGCTGATCCTCTCACTTTGTTTTTGCTCTTGCTTTGATGCACCGAGAAGAAAGGAAGCAGAAACTGGGCTCCAGGCTGGTGTTCGAATCGGCCCTTTCCCCAATAGCTTAGACTGAGAGCTATAATACGGGGCAGGCTTTCTAGTTGTGCTATTGATGTGCAGGTCCCACAGAAAAAAAAAGTGACTTGAGTGGCACCAACACTGTGGGTCAGCTCCCTTTTGTCATTTTCAACCTGGTTAAAAAGAAGAGATGTAACTAATCAGTTACGTTCTTCAAGATTATACAAATGGGACTGTTACATTTTTCTGTTGATCCTGATTTAATGATGCTAAAATTATGAAATTATGGATTATTTGCATTCATTTTTTGCCTTCAGCATGGGGAGGAGACTGTTGTAAGTCCTTGAGGCAAGGACCCAAAGAGCCCTGCATCCCTTTTTGGTAGTTGATATGTATCAGATAGTGACTGCAGATTATCACTTGACAGCTGGTCTGTGATGGTCATTCTACCCAAACCAGTTTCTTATCTTATGAATATCCTGCCTGGTAGTGGAAGCATTCTTACAAAAGCGAAATGGCTTTAGGTTAGTAAAGCATTAAATTTCACTACAGCATTAGAATAATAGGTTTCAGTATTCAGGATCTGAACACTTCTGGTCCCTTAATTATGGACTTTCTGGCTTAACCTGAAATCAGCTGCTTTGCAAATGAAGTGATGGTGGCAGCAACCAGTGGCTTCTCTCCTTTTGAAGCCCATAACCCCAATTTCTACATTAGGAAGCTGTAGCCTGTACCATACTAATCATGCTTCAACTGAAGCTAGTAAGAAGTTCTGTATGTTAATCTCGAGAGCAAAGCAGAGTGTGTGTGTGTGTGTGCATGCAAGTCTATGGTATTGTACATCATTATCTAGCAATTGGATTGTCATGGGGATTTGGAAAACCAGTATAGCTCCAAGATGGCCATTAAGATGATAATAGCCTGGATCAACTTTATACATGCATAAAAGTAGGTTGAAAAGACCGTGTTTGTGAAAGCATGTTGTTGAATCTCTTTGGGTAAAAGGAAGAGAACATGCAGCAAGCTCGTGAAGAGGAGGAGAGACGTAAAGAAGCAACTGCACACTTCCAGATCACACTAAATGAAATTCAGGCTCAGCTGGAACAGCATGGCATACACAATGCAAAGCTACGGCAAGAAAATATTGAACTGGGGGAGAAATTGAAGAAACTTGTGGAACAGTATGCACTGAGAGAAGAAGTAAGTTATCTGTGCCTTAGCCCACTGTTTCCCAACTTGTGGGGTCAGGATCCAAAAGTGGGTCACACTGCCTCTGAAAGTGGGTTGTGGGCCAGTCCCCCTTAGTGGTCACCCCTTCCCTTTTCATTGCTGTCTCTCCTATTTTGGAAGCCAAGATCTGACCCTGGAAGCAGTATCTTCCATGTCATACATTGGTTGGTATTTTTTCTTCACTGCATGTATATGTTGATCATGTAAAACATGTCCTGATGTTTACTAGAGTGAGTTTATTAGAGACTTAGGGAGGATTAGACGGTCAAAGCCTGGAATGTAATCTCCATGTGCAAAGGCTGTGTATGTCAGAATGCCATTTGCGAGAGGTTCATAGTGGGGGCAGCTCCACCTTTTGTAAGACGTTTATTGGTTTCTCAAGCATCTGGTTAGCCACTATAGAAGATGGAATGCTGAACTAGATCAGTGTCAAGGTCATAGTTTGCCTAGGGCACAAAACAAAACAAAAACCTTGGACTAGCCCTGGATGGGTCACCATACCAAGTAAATTTGGACTTGTGGGTCACCGTACCTGGGTTCAAACCCTGCCATGAAGTTTACTGGGTGACCTTGGGTCAGTCTCATATTCCTGGCCTTAACTGTTGCACTGGGTTTCTGTGAAGTTATGCTGGAGTGGAGAGAACCCTGAGACCTGCCCTGAGGTTCTTGGAGGGAAGGGCAGGATAACAAAAGGAATAGATATGTATTGCTGTTGTATATAAAGTTATACCTCCTTTCTTCATCTTTATCCTGTAGAGTTCTTGGATCATATTTTTACCATTCTACAGTCCATCTCTAACAACATTTAGCATTTCATTCTGGAACTTTACCACCATTTAAGTATGACTTACCTGCTCACAGGAGGAGGGGAAAGATCTCAGAAGGGTATAATGCCATAGACTCCACCCTCCAAAGCAGCCATTTTGTCCAGGGGAACTAGGGCTGCCAACCTCCAGGTGGGGGCTGGAGATAACTCATCATTACAACTGCTCTGCATTTGACAGAGATTAGTTCCCCCAGAGGAAATGGCTGTTTTGAAAGGTGGACTGTATGGCATTACACCCTGCTGAGGTTGCTTCCTACCCCAGACCTCGCCCTCCCAAGGCTCCACCCCCAAATGTCTGGGGATTTCCCAACCTTGATCTGGCAACCCTAAGGGGGAACTGATTTCTGTAGCTGAGGGATCTGTTGTGATTCCAGGAGATCTCTATTCCCCCCACCCAACCCTAGAAGGAGAGGAGGAAGCGGGAAAAGGATAGCGACTGTGGGGGCTTTCAGGAAAGGGACAGAGGAAATTGTGGGAGAAGTGAGATGCCTCTCACAAGTCCTTGCAGGTTCTCGCTTGTTTCCAACTACTTTTTACTACTGATCTTCTAGTATCCAGTTCTGTATCTGTCTCAGCATTAATGCCTGGATATCTTCAGTGCTATCTCTGAACATGGTTAGATGGATCTCCATTTTTAAAACCTGTCTTCAGGAGCTGTTGAAATCACTGGCTTAGACTGGAATAACTTTGCATAAGGTTGCTCTGTTCATTACTTTATAATGACTTTTTTTCAGTGTCGTCTAGCATTTTCAGTCTATATTCTACTCCCATATTTGTGTTCTGATTATTTGTAGTCTTGTCTAGGCATCTGTGTTTTCCTTGGTGACTTTCAAGTCTTCTGATACCCAGTAAAATGAGAATGCCTATGCTATAATAGTGTTCCTGGTTAGGTCTTTGTCATGTCTAGCTTGATGCTCTACCTTTCTTTGTTTCTCTAGCATATGGACAAAGTCTTCAAACATAAGGAACTACAACAGCAACTGGTGGATGCTAAACTTCAGCAAACGACACAGCTCATAAAAGAAGCTGAAGAAAAACATCAGAGAGAAAGGGAGTTCGTAAGTGTATCTGGTCCTAAGCTGTAGATCTGGTCCTGGCTGTATCCTTTCATTCAGCATATTCCATCAGCAAAACGAGCTCTTTGGCCAACAGAACAGCCTCTTACGTTGATAGGGCGTGCCTTTCACCAACTGAACACACTATTCTAAACTGAGCAGCATAATGGGATACAGCCCAGGGATCTGGTACAAATAATTTTTCCTGGTACAGTGAGAATACAGAAGCATGTTTTAGACCCCTAACGATTGTACTGACACAAATTGGAAATCGCTTTATTTAAATATTTCTGGGTAGTATTTATGCACACTGGCTTGGGTCAAGACTAGATGTCACCATGAAATACCTCCTCCCCTCCCCCCCTCCAAAACAGGATTTTAGGAGAGGGCATTTTAGGAAACTGTGATCTGTGGGCTTGCAGCCTCGGAAATGCTAGTCTAGACCCTATCCATGTTGTATAAATCCCGTTGGGAAGGGGGAATTCAAATTGCTGAATAGATTTGTAGCAGTGGAGTTTGTAGTATAGTTTATGTATTGCACCTATATATGTTGCTTGGTCCTGTTGTCACTTAGCAATAAGTGTGCACCCCAGTAATGGTTGTTGGAGGTGAAGGATTGAATTTGCAGATTCATGAGTGGAGCTTCTTTGACAGAATGAGTCTTTGCAACCTGGCTGTTGTTGCTCCAGCCTCATGTGCCTTCCATAAACCAGCTTCTGAGAGTTTGGGAGCCATGTGGGATATGGTGCTGCTCCCGCAACAACATGGGGAAGTGATGCCTGCTAATTCCTTTTATACCACATCCTCTATAAGCTGGGGGGTTTTGAGCCGGAGGGGGTGAAGATGACTGTATCATGAAAAAGATGGCAAAACCCCATCCCAGTAACTGAGCTCCACTTGTTCTCTGGCTGCCAATCAAATACACGCTTGTTAAATCTTGATGGCATGGATGGTCATCAACTTTCTGACGGTGAAGATGTTAAATGTACTGTTCTTGTGTGTTTATTGAAGAATATGAAATTAATATAAAAGCATTTAAATGAAGATTCTCTCACTGCTAAAAGTTGAAACATGCCCTTTTAAGTGAAAGGTAATATTGTTGTAAAGATGCTGCAGGTTCCCCAGTACAGGTAACTTAGTCTGCAATATCTCTGCATAAGATTGCCCTGTTAAGTAAAACCAAACTAGTGTGTGCATCTGCTAAGTGAAAAGCTCGAAACAGCTGTTGGAAATGTTTATGTAACATTTCATCCTGAACAGGGTGGGATGCATTTGTAACGGTGTGGCTTTTATGTATTTGAACACTTCAGGTAGAATTCTAGAAGAGACAGTGTCAGTTCAATATAAAACTCATGTTAGTTTTAAAACTGGCAGTGCCTAATGTGAAATTTTGGTTAGTAAATAACTTTGAAATGAACTTGTTTTTAACATAGTAGTCAGAATAAGAAAATATAGGTGGCAGATATTCCTAAGGTATTATAGAGAGGATACTGAAATGTTTTTTCTTTAGTTCTTAAAGGAAGCTACTGAGTCCAGACACAAATGTGAACAGATGAAACAACAAGAGGCCCAACTAAAACAGCAGGTATACTAAAGTTTGCCTGTACATGTTAGCTATGTTAGGTGTTCGGTATATGTTAATAGCTCTGTTATCGTCATGTTAGTTGACTAAATGAATTTTCCTATTGCCTTTAGAAATACTTTCTGAAACTGTGCAGTTTAGATTTAAGCTTTTCCCCATGTTCAGTCCTATCTCATTTTGTTAATATTGGCTTTATTCTGTGTCACTCAAAGCTGGTGTTTGTGACAAATTGATACGACCATTAGTTTTAGCCGGGGTGCTGAGACTGCTGAACTCTGATCTCAGCTTACTAGACTCCTGGCTGCTCTACCATATCATGCTAAACAAGTCAACAAAATCATGCTTTCCAGGTGTTTGTTCTTGTTCACAAATTCAGTGCAAACCTTTGTTGTGAGGCAGCAAAGCTTCATATTATGTCAAAACTGGTATTGTACATTGTATTGAGTATTCAGTTTGCTTTAGTCCTACCTAAATTGAACTTCTGTTACTGCTGCTACTTCTAAAATTTCTTTTTTTGTTTAGATTACTAAATTATTTGCCATCATTTTCCTCTGTGATCGTTACAAAGGCCTGCCTCTTGCTTTATATTCTGCAGTCCATTATTACCTCATTTACGTAACTCTTTTAAATGTCATACGTGTAATATGAGGGGGGAAGGTCTTGATTGGTATTGATTCAGAAATGCAATTTGTCTTGCAGTCTAGTTTTCTAGCATTGAATCAGAAATGCAGTTTGCCTTCCAGTCTGGTTTTCTAGCATTGAAACTGGTGGCAGTATAATTTATCTTAAGGATTCTGATGAACAGTTTGAAGATGAGTCTGAAGTCACTGTCAAACTGAAATTTAGATTAGTGTCTAATGGAATATCTTCATCATTCACAGCCCTGCCACTGATACGTTTTTTACTCCAGTTTATCTTGCATTCCATCAGAACTTTCTCCTCTGCCATATCTGTCCTTTTGTAAGATATTTCAAAATGCAAGATGGTGTGTTTTCACCTTGGTTATACAAATGTGTTGCTTTTTATCACTGTAAGGATACAAGCTGGGGGAGATGAATGATTTAGTTGTTGTAGATTTTCTGGGCTGTATGATTTGTTTGAACTTGACATTGCTTCAATCATTACTTTTTAATTTTTAAGGTGGTGTTGAGAGCATGTGCATTGGTGGTTAAGCTACAAAGTTTGGATATAATTAAATAATGTAGAGGACTTAAGTATTTTTCCCCTTTAGCTTTCTCTTTACATTGACAAATTTGAGGAGTTCCAGACAACAATGGCAAAGAGTAATGAACTTTTCACAACTTTCAGACAAGAAATGGAAAAGGTACGTAAGCGACGAGCCTTTTTTATCTTCCTCATTCCACTGTTGAAGAATCTGAAATTACCTGATATTAGTCAACTGTTAAATGTCACATATCTATCAGTAAATCCGATTTGATATATTCATTTCCGTTAGAAGAAATGATTAGGTCTCTTGTTTTGAACAGTCAGCAAAAAAGTTAACTATCTTTCCCTGCTGCTTTTAAGAAATCTTAAACAATGGATTGTAGTGATTTGAGAATTAAGCTAAAATAATTAAGAATCATGTGGGGCGTTAAGACCAACATTACATTCCAGCATAGGATTTAGTGAACTAGAGCCTGCTTGTTCAGATGCAGTGGATAAATCTTCACTATGGTCCCCGTCACATGTGCCAGATAATGCGGGAGGGAAGCGAGGCTTTTTGTGCCGTATCAATTTGACCCCCCACAGCATGATCAGACGCAGTGGCGGGTGAATCGGGTTTTTCCTCTGCTGGGTGTTTCTGGATGCGCTCCATCGAGGGATCAGTGACGCAGTGGGAGCAAGCCGGAGCGATCACACGGGGAAGTCTGCCTGCCGCCCATCGCAAACCTGTTTGCTACTGCCCTTTCCCCGGTATTTTTGTACTTCGCATCTTCGACGGGGCGAAACAGGTTGGTGACGGGTGTGGGACGCCTGCCAGATGTTCTCATGTGATCGCACCCGGGAAATCCGCCCGTCATTCGTGCGTATTGCACGGCTAGTTCTGCGTGTGAAAGGAACCTTGGATATCATTTATACTGCCTGTAGAAAGAATAATGCCAAACAGCAGTCAAGTGGCCATGAAATTCAGGAAGTAGAAAGTAAAATAGACTCAGGAGGGCATTGTCGTAAAGGACACAGTGGAAAGGAACTATCCAGGAAGGCGCTGTTATTATTGAATAGGATTTTGCTTTTATTCCGTTGTCTTCTAACCTGTGTGATTCCACTACACCTTGCTTAGACAGTCATGGTTTGCATTGCTTACTAAATCTGTAGTTCTAGTCCGATTGCCTTGTTTGTTGGGTGTCTTGCACTGTAGTGTTTTCAATTCTGTAATCTGCCTTGAGTCTTAGTGAGAACAGTGGGCTGTAAATATAGTTATGTGAAATTAAAAAAATTTTTTTTTTAAAAAAGAGCATAGACTAGTTATGCTAAATTAGTTAGCACATACAATTGGTAGGGAGTCCCAGTTTTGCTAAAATAGTTAGATTCAAGTTCAGTAGCACCTTACAGACCAACAAGAGTTTCAGGACTCTGAGGTGCTATGGGACTCAAATCTAACAGTTCTGCTGCAGACCAACATGGTACCCTCTGAAACTATTTATCACAATCAGTTTAATGGTGGAGGTGGGGAGATAGTGAAACCTTTTTAATAAATCCCAGGCCAACAGTTTCATGCTGACGTCTCTTGTTGATGTTTGTTGAAGAGGTCAAACAGTGTCCTGGGAGATTAAAATATTCTGGTTTCAGAATACAACAGTTTTTAATGTCAGTTATGTGTCCATTTATCCATCTGTGTAATGACTGACCTGTTTGTCCAACGTAGAGAAGAGAACACCATTGTTGCCACATGATAGCATTTATCACATTTGAGGATGGTATGCCTGATGTTGTTAGGTCCTGTAATGGGTTGGTCCTAATAAAAACAATATTACACAGATTGTGTTCTGGCAGTTTTTTAATTTGACTTTTGGAGCTATCTGGCTGCAAACATTTCTTTCCATAGTAGGATTGCCTGTGAGCAAGGTGGTAACCTTTAATAGGGACAGAGTTGGCATGGTGGAGGGGAGATATTGCTAGGAAAAAGCTGAGTTTAAGGTGCAATGCCTGGACAGGCTTGCCTTGCCACCCAGTGCCTGTGAGAGAGCTGACAGCACAGCTACGGGGGGGGGGGGGGGTTTCCCTCCACGACCTGCTGTTCAGCCCTGCCCTCCTCTTTGCCTGAGGCACTATACGTATGCCTTGCGTCCAGGAGCTGTTTGTTGTGGGGTAGGTGAGTTCCAGCCCAGATTGTAAGGTACCAGCTTCTTCAGCCTCATCCTTTTCTATGCCTGAGGACCTGAAGTAATTTTTGTCTGGAGGAAAGGGCAGTGCCTGACTTGATCCCTATCACGTGAGTTTTCTGATGATGTTTATGGTATAGTACAGTTTGGTTAAAGTGATTTCCTTATTGTAAACTTCAGTAGGTTATTGGCAGCTAATCATTGATAAGTTGGACTGTTTTGAGTTGGAAGCTGCTGTCAGTGACGGTGCTGAGAGGTTGTTTGGTCCTGTCTTGTAGTAGGTTATTTCTAGATACTAGTCTAGCTTTATTGGTCTGTTTCTTAATGTCATTGAAAGGGTATTTTAATCCTAGAAATGACAGTAAACAGTGTCTTAAAGCACTGAAGCAAATGCAAGTGTATGGTGTGATAGGTTACAGACCCCTGCACTAGGCAATGGATTTTGTACTGTGTTCAGGGTGGTTTCTGGAAGTGTGTAGTTGTATAGCCATCGGTGGTGGTGGTGTGTCCCATTGCATAGCTGTACAGTGGTGGTGTTCAGGGAGGAAAAAATCCTGTTGTGTGGACTGGTCCAGACTCAGGTTGATGATGGAAACTATTGAAGTCCTTGTGGAATCTTTCTTGCTTCTTTCCAAGTGCCCAGATGATAAAAATGACACTGAGAAATCTCATGTACAGGAGAGGTGTTAGTATGTAGTAGCTGAGGAAGCACTGCTGTAAGTCATTAATATTGTCACATACTGTGGGGTAAATGCTGGTTCTGATGGCTGTCATTCACCTTAAGATACAAGCTATTGCCAGATCTGAATTAATTACAGATAGAGACCAAGGGACAAAATTTAGCAGCAAGATGTGTTGTAATATTAGGGATAATGTTCCTGATGGCATTTAGCCTGTCTTGTGGAAGATGTTGGTATATAGAAGCTCACTATCCATAGTGGCCTAGATGGCATTCATTGGGAGAGTACCTGTGGATTGTTGTTTTTGACTAACTGAGATATTGATAGCATGGCACATGATGAAGAAGTCCATATAGCCAAACACTCTTACAGTGATTGTACCAGTAACGATTGGGGCACCCTAGCTTTGCCAGTCTGGTGTCTTTTAGATGACGGTTCCTGGGTCATGTCCAGGTTTGTTGTCATGTACACCTGGGTAATTCCTTCATTGTTCTTTGTGGGTCGAAGGATACTGGCTTGTAAAATATAGTGTGTGGGAAAGCTGTCTCAGCCTCCAGACGACAACTGCCAATCCTTTGCCTGCCTTTCTGATTACGGTATCAGGTTTTGTTTTGTTTTTTGAGACTTTGTTGCATCCCTGTTTGCACAGTTGAGATTGTGTTGTAAGCAATCTTGCTTGCTGGTTCCTTTGGCCCTGGGCACTGTGACGAAGGCATCCTGTGTAAAAATCCAGTGTGGCATCACAGCTGTCAGGTCCATGTCTAATTCTTCTTTCTGTAACTCTAGGAGGCTGACAGTTGAAATTAGATTGTTCATAGGCAGCTGTTTGGCAGTGGTTTAATTAGTGGTAGGCTGAGTGGATGGTGTCTGTCCATCGGTGCACTGTTCAGTGGATGTAGTGCAAGTATTTATTCAAATACAAATTATGAAATAGATCTCCAGGTCACTGCACAGTTGTATAATGTGTGTGCCTCGCAAGGCAGAAGTGTAGTCCCCATGAAAGCTTGGTGGACCGGGATCACCCCAGGATATGTTTGTGAGTGGTTTTTTGTTTGTTTTTAAGTGATAGTGTATCAATTGGCTGCTGTATTTTTGAGAATTTTCTGTATACTGCTTTGGATCTCTTTGTAAAGAAAAGTGGTATCAAACTTTCCTACGTAAGTAAGAGATTTCTGCTTGTCTGTGTTACATGAGTGACAGTATTGCTAAGTTAGAGTATTGTTTTGAGTATTGTTTCAGCCCATGTACCATCTGTACAGTTAAAAGGTTTATTGCATATTACCATCCTTCAACAAAACAACTGATAAGGAAGAAACTGCTGAGATTCATTAGGAGGTTTTGCACTATCTTCTGCTCCGGATTGAAGAGGATTTACATCACTACATTTGGGTCTCTACTTCTTGCATTCCCTGTGTGTCTGCTGTTCATTTTTGCTGCAACAGACTAATGTGACTGCTCCCTTGGAACTGAGAAATAAGGGACTAGTGCAGCTATAAGGGGATAAGTGTTGGTTTTCAGGCAGGGTTGAAAAAGCAATATTGTTTAGCATTACTGTTAAATTTAATTTTAGATGACCAAGAAGATTAAAAAACTGGAAAAAGAAACAATAGTTTGGCGTACAAAATGGGAAAACAACAACAAAGCTCTTCTGCAGATGGCCGAAGAGGTGAGTGTTGGTTTTCAATCTCTTCCAAGTAGCTCATATATGTAACTTCATAGGCTGTGAAAAGCAAACCGAGGCTGGCCGTTCTCTGCCCAGCCATTGAAAAGCGAAGCTCTGTTAAGTGCAGCTTGTGCTAGAATGTCAGAGAGAAGCTTTAGATTTTTCAGAAAATGATACACTTACTGATATTTCTGTTTCAGAAATGTCCTGCCCTCCTGAGCCTTCGGGGAGGGCGGGATATAAATCCAAAGAATAAATATAAATAAATAAATTTCAGATATGTGACCATTGCGTTGGTTGATAGACTGTTACATAAAATACGTATTATCAACCACCTTGGAAGGCTATGTAAAACCTCTTTGCCTGGACTGCTTTCATTGCAGATTCCACTGAATGTTGGTAACAATTTAGTTGCCTTCAAATTAATTCTGAATGTTGCAGGATGGGCTCCACAGATTAGAGTATCACTTACCTAACTAGACAGAAGGTCTGTGTCCTGCAAACAAATATTTTAAACAATAGTTGGGTGAGGAGGAGATTGGGGGGGGTGGCTTTAGTTAACTCAGAAGCACTAAATGGGCATCCCGAGAAGGGTCGCTATAGAAAGTTGCTTGTGCAAGTTGTAAATTTAAGCTTATTCTCAGTTCGTTTCTAATGGTTCTGAAAAGTTATGTTGCATGAAAGTCACCCTTGTCATGTGCTGTCTTTGTTTACTGCAGAAAACAGTGAAAGATAAAGAATATAAAGGCTTTCAAATAAAACTGGAGCGTTTGGAAAAGCTGTGCAGAGCTCTTCAAACAGAGAGAAATGAGCTGAATGAGAAGGTGGAAGTCCTTAAAGAACAGGTTTCTGTAAGGGAAGCGGATGTTGATCTAGCTGCACATGTGTTGCAGTCATGCACACTCAATTCCCATGAGAGGCTGGGGATTTCGACCAATGGAGCGCAAGAAGGAATCCAACCAGATCCTGAATTGAGGGTGGCAGCCGAAGGAAAGAGCTCTGAAAAAACTGTCTGCCTAGATTCCATTCCTACCACAGATTTTGTTGACTAAAGTGTAAACACTGTATTGAGAGATATATTTTGTGTATAACTTTAACTGGTGGTGGTAACTATTAGTTTTGTGGTGAAAATTTTCTTACTTTTTCTACCATATCTGTATTTTCTTAGAACAACAGAACTTGCCTGATACAGGAAGCTGCGTAGCGGCTATTGAATAGCTTATCTATAAAATTTCCAGAACTGTGTTGCACATCTGCCTCATTTTTTAAAAACAACCCTATCATAAAGGATGCATGCAAATTTCTACCTTCTGACCCCAGAACACACACCACCATGTTAACCAGACTCATACACAGATTTGACATCATGTCAGAGGAATAACTGGTTTGGAAAAAGCAACAACTTCTGTTATGTGAATTAAGGTTTGGTATCCAGTTGTAATTACCAAATAAGGTAGTAAACTATAGGTGAACAGAGGTGTGATAACCAGTGGAAACTTCTGCTCCCTAAATTCATATTTGTTTGTACAAACAAAGCTGGGGAAAAAAATCGTACAGGGTTTAGTGTAGCTGCAGTCTCATCCACTGCTTTGAAATATATGTAATTTTGCAACTGGAAAAACAGGGTTTACAACTGTCTTTCATGTTTCTCAGGATTGACCTGCAGGGTTAATTCATAGATAGGGTGACTGCTGCCCTACCTCTTAAAGTGAATAAAAGAGGCCAGTAGCTGCAGAGGCACTCAGATGTGGTCTGGGCAGCCACCAATTAAAACCAAGTTACATTGTCAGCACCCTGCCCCCAACTTCAGAGGAGAACCTTTCTTTTAAAAATTGTAATTTGAAGCATGCTATCCGTAAATGTGTGCCTGAATTTGCAATTTAGTTATTACTTGTCCTACGAAGTACTAGTAGCTGTGTGCTCAAAACAGCTGGGGTTTGGGTTAGTGGTTGTCAAAGTATTGGTACTTTTTGTAGTTTATTTCTGCTATTACGTCTTTTCAGAAAAGCATAACACCTCTGTGACTGGAGACATATTTTCATGACATGAATCTGCATATTAACAAGGATAATTCAGAATATGGACAAGTCTTTGTGATGTTATGTTACCTAATCCAGGCAGAAGGAATTAGTAGAAAAAAAACTACTCTGATCTTAAATTCTTAGTGACTACTTTTTCTAGAATAAAACGGCTTGCTAGACAAAGCATACCAGTAAGTAAAAGTGCCTTCTGGTATTTACAGGTTACCTGCTAAATTTGGTGCATCAACTGGTATTTTAACTGATGCACGGTGAGCACAGCTCCATTTTTTAATTTTTGCCTTCGGATTAGAGTTCTGGATGTCCATTTGCTTTGAAAAGCCCCTAAAGCCCCCTAGATATAAGTTTTAAGACAGGGACCAACAGCATGTTTACTTTGTTAGTGTAGGTGTTGTGCAGAGTGATCACAACTGCCGTTAACTTTGCTTGCTAGTGTTCACTTTCTAAATTGTAGTTGCGAATTTTGAGGGGGTTCAAATTCCTGGTACCTGATTTAGTCTTTGCTTTTGAGAGAGTTCTGATTCAAGCACACAATTGTTGGTAGGTACTCTGCTTGCCTACCCTGGCTCTTTGACAGTTTAGTTGCCAAATTACTTGAATGTTCAGGCTGCACTGAATTCTTCACTCTTTGCCTGAGATAATGTACAGTGGGATATAAATGTCTTTAAGCAAGCGAAGGTTGAGAAGAACCTTTCAAATACCAAGTCAGTTTTATATCTGTTGTGACCTAATTCAACAACTGGCCATGTTATATTTCTCCCAAGTTGCATTTGCACATTTCTCTGTATGCATTCCAAGTACAGTGAAGTTGGTGAAGCTGCTGGGAACATGCACAGTGAGGGCATAAGCTTGACTTTGCCAATTCTAACCACGTGGTGGCAGTAGAGATACTGAAGAGAATTAATCTAACAGTGTTACATTAAACTCGTTTGGCTGCTATTCTAAAGCATGGATATAGAAGCAACAGGATTTTCAGCTTGACAAGTGCAGAAAAGAACCCGAATTTATTCTCTTGCTAAATAGTTAGAAACTGAATGCAAGTTGCAAGTAAACTGCAATGCTTCCGAAGAGTTTAAAAACAAAAAAACAAAAACGTGTACTTGGTTGCCCTTCTCTCTTGCCAGAATGGTATAGTACTTGCCCTGTCTGTAAGCAACAATAGATCTTGGATTCTGTTGCAAATTACAAACAGCTTTCAAATGTCAATACATGAAAAACCAGTGTAAGTATTGTGTTTAGTGATGGGGGGGAAGAAGTGGAATGATATATTTTCTGTTAACAAAATTGTGTGCACATGCGAGCCTTCCCACTTTGTCTCTCCTAAATCTAGTTAGGATACATTTAATTTCATGAAGCCTTAGAGTCATTCCATACACTGACTGGAACGAGGGCTAGGTTAGGACAAGTTCAGAACTCTGTTGTTCTGCCATATGTTGCACTGCCGTTCTCCAACAAATTTGTTCTGTGTACTTATACAACACATGCTTTCCACGGGCAGCTGCTTTACTGTGTGTAAACCAGTAATCATGTATTTAAAAAAGAAAATTAAAGCTATTGCTTATACCGTCCATCTCAGTATACCTTTTACAATAAATTTGCAACAAATGTGTTCAGTACAGGGGGTGTGTACTCTTCTTGCTACCCTGTCGTGAGGTGGGGACAGTGCACAGCTGGCTGACTAACCCCTAGAGCGTTAGAGTAATCTCTCACTGACTGAACTATACAGTCAGTAGAAGTCACCCTTTATTTGTAACACTGCAGTGTAGTTACAAACACAAATGCTTTGGGGCGGTTTCTTCCCAATCCATTGTCCTTCCTTGATTACACCTGGTTATGTTACAGTTCAATTCTCAGGTGTTGCAGAAAAATCTACCTCTTCAGACTATAGATGGAAATAACTGTGAAAAGTGATGCAGAAATCTAGTTTGTGCTGAACACTCTGCTTTATTTTTACAACCCATATCTGCTTTCATGGAGAAAAAAAGCTGAATGAATAGGCAGTCTTGTTTTTTGCTTTTCAGGAACATTTTGTAGAGATTTTTCACTAATGTGAATCTGAAATTTTATCTACTCCGTTCTGTATAGATTAAGTAAATATGTATGCTTAATATCAAAGAGTCTGTGTCTTTTATTCCTATGAGCCACTTAACCCTCAACAAGCATCACTTTCAAGCATCACTTTTCTAGACTGGGGGCTTGTTTGTCTGGACACTTATGCTTCTCAGGCACAAAGGGTCAAAAAACCACCTCTGGTGTGAGGCAGCCAAGGAGCAGCCTGGACTGTTACGCCACCTCCCCTAAGAAGTATGCTGCATCCACAATTTTTTCATCTTTTAATACACTAATTTAAGTTGATCAAGATGGGTAACCATTATTAGTCTGTCTGTAGCAGTAGAAAAGCGCAAGAGTCCGGTAGCACCATAAAGACTAGCAAACTTTGTGGCAGGCAGTGTTCCCTCTAAACTGAGTTAGTGTGAGCTAGCTCACAGTTTTTTAGCCTCCGGCTCACACGTTTTTGTCTTAGCTCCAGGAGGATGGCTCCAGAGCTAACTAATTTATGCAGCAGCCAAATCACTGACTGAACTTTAATGCCAGCAACTCACAAAGGAGAACTTTTGCTCACAAGACTCCACAGCTTAGAGAGAACATTGGTGGCAGGGTATGAGATTTCTGAAGAAGTGAGCAGTGACTCACAAAAGCTCATACCCTGCCACAAGTTTTGTTAGTCTTTACGGTGCTACTGGACCCTTGCTCTTTTCTAAGTTAAAATTGGCTCATGGAAAAATGCTTTCATGTATGACGTTACATGCTTCGAATGTGTGCGGTGGCCTTGCGTGTATGGCTGCCAGCTGGGCCAGTGTTCTTCAAAGGTACCCCAAATATGGAAGGCGTGCTATAAACATACATCACTTGTCATGCGGATACTCTCACAAATTCAGGGTAGTTTTACAGCTGAGTGTTTTAGGGTCAGACAGTAAGTGCTGGGAGTTCGATGGCTGAAGCTCAACTGATGTGCAGGCTGCGTGTATGTTCACCAGTACAGGGCAGATAGCTCCCCTGGTCTGTGTTTGGCTGGGAAAATGGCACAGAGAGAAGGCTTAAATCCACCTTCCCATTTTGCTGTAGCCCTAGTCTGAATTGTGACACCTGTGCCTGTTTGGATTTTGAAAATTGTGAATCTGCTGTGTTGTGATGTAGAATTAGTACCATTTATCGAGATCCATCCAGCTCTGCAAGGTTTTGCTCTGACTTGCCAGAAAGTGGAGCTCCCCAGTTCCCTCGACTGCTTTCCTAAGGAGGCTCATGCAGATGAAGTTCTGACGTTTATCAAAGGTAAGGGTTTATAGGTCAGGTAAGGTGGATGGGAACTTTCAATAAGTCATACTTAACAGTATGTAAGGGTTTTTTAAAAAAAAATCTTGACATGCCATCATTTGTGGATGCTGTGCATACCAAAGAAAACAGAAGAGCATTTTTCAGTCTCTGTACATGGTGATCAATGTAGTTTCTTGGAAAGTGCTAAAGAATATACATTTATGGTGTGAAAATAGGCTTAATTCATTATATATTTTCTACTATTTGTGAGTAAGGCTATGCATCACACGCTGGCCTGGGAGACAAGGTTGTAGGACTACGGGGGGGGGGGGGGGGGGGGGGTCTTGGTTCTTCAGTGCAGCAGTCCCCAACCTTTTGGGGCCCATGGGTACCTTTGCAATTTTGAGGGGAGGCACTGAGTGCCACCCCAAATGACTGCCACAGGAGGCGGAGCCAAACCTCTTAACATCCCTCCACTTTCCAAAAGAATTGCAGAGGGGGAATAAAAAGAAATGAAAGACAGCTGGCAGGAGGAAAAGGAGACTGGGGGATAAAATGAAGGAGAGTGAAGAGGGATGGAACCAGAAGCTCTCCTGATCCTCCAGTGGCTGTGACCGCCATTGCAGCTGTGAAAACCTTTCATTTGAAAGAGGGCAGCCAACAATAAGGCATGCCTTACAAATAGCCCCACCCACTTTCTGAAAAGTTTGGCAGATGCCAGAGGAAGTACAGGCAGGCACACAGCCTCAGTGGGTGCTCTGTTGAGGAACCTTGCCCCAGGGCATTCATAAAAGTGAGGAACTACTTGCTGGGGTGGCATCACCTTTCTGTTCTGGTCATGTGCCATCTCCTATCAACTATAATCCAGCAGGGAGAAATCTAATTCAACTACCTTGTATGTCTAAACTACAGGAATCATGAAAGCTGCCCAGGAAACCCCTTACAATGTGGCTTGGTCTGCAGTGCTTTTGCAGCAGAGGCTGATGCATCAGCTGCACCATCTAGTGGCAAAAGGCACGACTCACTGCTCAAATGTCCAGTAAATGAATGTCTGGGTATAACATTAATCTATATAGAGTGC